TAGTTTGCAGGACATGAAACGATGAAACTAAACGATATTGGATCGTCAATCTGAGTTAAAGTGTATCCAATTTTCACGGACACGCGGTATACACGTTTACACATAATGTTGATTGTACATCATTTTAATTAAATATTCGCAACTATTGTTGCATACAGAATTAAAATATTGGCCTATAATGAATGCCATAATTCACTACATCGAAAATCAATATGCAAAAAATAAAATTTTATATTTAAATTCTCAAAAATACAAAAAATAAATTTCATTTTTTAATTCTCAAAAATACAAAAAATAAATTTCATATTTTAATTCTCTGTACGTTTTCATTTAAAACATGTGTGATAATAATCTGGCATGTATTATTACTATACATTCAATCAAAGCTGAGCAAATCAAAAATTATATCTTAACTCAGTCATGTCAACTAGTCAAGTCGAATCGTCATTAAGTCATAAATAACACAAATACAGTTTGATTTTGGGTTAATTTAATTAAAGTCAAAGTTGAAACACAATCTTGAAAGTTACAAGGCCCTGGCATAAGCCGTCCGTAATAAGCTTGACCGACCGTCAAGTCTTGCCCCACTTACTCCGATTTTATGAATATATTGTAATAAATCTTACAGTTATGTCTTAGTATGGTGTATTTGCATAATATTATTATTTAGTATGAAATATTATTAATATATTATATTATGTAAAATTGCAGGGTGCAATTAAAGTCAATTAGTGTGCGTGACGCGATCCACTTCAGGATTTTTGGAACAAATAATTTGTCAAAAACTGCATTAGATTTATAATCGGCAAATAAAGTATACCTAGCATTTCCTCCTTGGACACATCAAGTCTGGCCACGCCGAAACTAGGATCGGTATCGGCATCAAACCGGTCGATCGTAAACTCCCAGTAATGGACGCCTCTAGAAAACCCGACGCTTCCAAGGGCCACACGGTGCTCGAATCCTTCGCAAGTCACCGTCATGTTGTCGGGCGTGAAGCACAGCTCGGGCGAACTCAGGCACGGGTCGAACGTAAACCAAGCCACTGGAAAAAAAACGCAATCAAAGGTAATTAAACAATCATTATGTAAACGCAGTATAGAGTGCACAGAAGTGTCTACTGTACAACACCTATTTAAAATGTTCCCATCCCCGAGTATATATAATAAATTGATGACATTATATATAATACCTATTTTGAAGTGCCATAAACACCCTAATTATATATTATAATTTCATCCATATTATATGGACCATATATACTCGGGGGCAGAAGAATTGAGATCTTACAACAATTCCCACGTATTTTTCAACTCATAATATTTTAATATTAAAATAGAGCAATATAGATTAATAAACTTAAACTGTTAAACAATCAAAAGCTTTTTAAAATTAATCATAATATGAACAATTTATAAAATTAACAACTGAGTCAACTGACTTTTTTTTTTTTTTAAATTTAAATTTTAAATTTTGCATTTACAGTAATATACCATTCATAAGAAAGCACGAGAGGTTACATATTTGTTCGTATTTGTTCATCAACAAAATGTAGAAAAAAGTGCCTCAGTGTTTTCAACTTTTAATAGAACGCCCTCGCGATGTAATATAGTGACGATACAGCATTAATCGCATTTTAATTTAAATTGTTCTCTGGATTCTGAACTACCAAAGTTTTGCTAAAGTAAATTGAAAATCAAACGCAGATGGTTCAAGCTAAGAGATTGTTTTTGAAATTTTCCCKGATAGATTTCAAGTAAATCACGGAAAAATATTGAAAAATGATGAGATAATATTATATTATAAAACGCTGCTGAACTAACAAAATAATTAAATAATTAAAAAAAAATTTTATTATATAGAATCAAAAAGTTCTCAATCCTCAAAACTATAGAAGTTAAGTGCAATCTCGTGCAAATATTATTTCAACGACAATTAGGTAGGTAATTAAAAAACTTTATTGAATTGTATTAAAACAGCACTTTTCGGTGATGAGCATTTATGAAATGCTTGCACGATAAAAGATTACCGCTAACAGTGTTTCTTTAACTCTATATAATAACATCTAAACATTCTAAAYCATCTTCAAAAATCTTATGTTTAATGATTGTTGGTAATTAAATAAAATAATTGAATAGCGGTGGCTTATATAATAATCCAATAAGCGACTTTTCAATAATCTGAGTAGTCAATCATACTATATTCATTGATCTGATAAATTTGATCATTACTCGATATATTCAATACGACATGCAATCCGTTGAATGATACATATAGACTTACCTATAATTCGATAAAACTAATAATAAACAGAGCCTCGATCAATATCGTTTTCTGAGTGCGATGCTTCAATGTCACTTAAAAATTTAAACACGATCCATCCACTAACCACCGAACCAAGCGTACCTACTACCCGATTTCTGTATGTTTAGCACTTTTTCTTTTTCTTTATTAAGAATTATAAAAAAAATCCTATCTAGAGACACGATTTATTTTAATCCAATACTAGCTGTACCTATATACGTGTAAATAAATATATATATACATATTATAAATGTACTAATAATATATTCTCGACAGGAGATCGATTCAGTAACTTATATATATATATATATATTATGCATTATTTTATATTACCTTCAGAAGTTTGCAATCCGATTACCTCGCTGTATTCGCCTTCGCCTGCGCTGTTGAATGCCTTTACTCGAGCGTTGTACGTGCAATTGAAGTGTAACCCGTCAACGGTGCAGATGGTTTCCGTGCCGCAATACACCTCCTGTATATTAGCAAAAACAAATAAGAATTAATTCAACAACATCGAATACCGTTAAAGGTAGGCTTCAGACGAATAATAATTTAATTTAAACCGAAAAAATATACTCATACTTTTAGAGTATTGTTAACAATAGAAAAATATTACCTATAAACGGTATTTTATTTTTGTATACGTTTTATGCCAAAGAGAAAACCACGTAATTTTACAATTTYAAAAAAGTACACAAATGATAAAAATAATGTGTCATATTGAATGCATCCATCAAGAGTGTTGAAACATAAAGAACAACTATCAAATTAATTGATACGTATATAGATTGATGTATTTATACAGAAATTATTGCAAAAAAATCATTCTATGATGRTAAAATTTATAATTTTAATTCAAAAATATTTTTAATAAAATAATTAAAATTAGAATTTTAACAGTTTTAATATTGAATATTCTAAAAASTTAACGGAATAAGAAGAAGAACTGAACTCACAGTCTGCCACATAATCACTGAATACCGCTAATTCAAGGATGAACGAAGACATTTTAACGTACCTAACACATTGGACGCAGCTCTCGGACCAGAAGCTATGATGGCATCGCACACGTTTTCAAATTTTTAGAAAAAATCAATCTATATAATAAAATCTAAAAAAAAATGTGTATACTAATTGTGACTAATGGGCTTTGCTGCTGATGTCAAATATGATCAGTAAAAAACAAAAAGAAATAAGAATACTAAAGGTTCATAGGAAAGTGTAGGTATATTATTTAATAATTGATGAAATTTAATGATTGAAAAAATAAAATTTTTAATTTACAATAAAAATTAATAATCAATTAGGTACTCGTCAAAACAATCTTTTATGATAACGAAAAACGATTATTTTCTTACTTTTTACCGTACATGTATTGTTCAATTGGTAAACAATGAAATGGAATTGAAATAATAATATCGTGGTTCACTTACGTGTTACGTAGTGTTAACATTTTAGTAAATAGCAATTTTCCTWGTTCAAATAGCACACGCAACAATAACGTTTTCAATGGTTTTCGTTAAAAAGTTGAATACCGGAGACTACCAATTAATAATTGATAATATATCTACTCGATATAAAACTATTGATTTAAAAAGGATCGTATATTTTCTAGCACAAGTTATACCTATGTAAAGTATATTAAATCAGTTTTAACCTTTAGATGTACATTTTCACTAATTTCATATATTTACTTTGAAAAAATATAAAAACTTACAAATAAAAACAAAATTATGGTTTAAAATGTGTGTATTTTATKACATGAGTCATGAAATTGGAAAACAATAGATTTTTTTAATTTTTAACACAATATAGATATTATGTATTCAATATCTCAAATATCACCTACTGATAATACCTATGTCATTAATACTCATTAGTCATTTTAATATTATAGATATGTGCGTGCTGGTATAAATTGTATAACGATAATTAGTAATTGCCACATCAATTAACATTACACCTTAATAAAGAAACCAACTATTATAATATAACCTATACAAAACTTCTAATACCTATATTAACATTTTTCCTGAAAAACAATTATTTTTCGACGAAATTTGTTCCTATCTCAATCATAACTAAAATAAGGTACTTATTAAAACCTTTAAAAATTAATTTAACGGAATTAAACAGACTTAATAGAACTTTGATCGTTTTCTAACGTAGTGTTTTTAGAACGTAAGGTCAATTTCACAGATATTAAAACATATATAAGTACATATCACAAGCCTCCTGTGTATTTATTTATTTTTAAAAATAACTCTCAATAATATAAGACATAAGTAGATTATAATTCACAAATAAAAATGACAAAATGTTTTATTTCGTTTCTTGAACATGGCAACAAGCGAGTAAATAGATATTATTATATTAAGTATAGTGTCGCCTGGAACATAATATTGTGCCATCCCATAACAAATTATCGTCGTCTAAAGGTTATTTTTATAGAATGGTTATGGTTATGGTGATTTCATGAAAATATTTTACTGCGACCAACATAAACATAACYTAAACTCCAAAATATGCCAAATATTCATGTATAAATAGTCAGATGTCCATTTCGAATTCACCATATTTATTCACCTATAAGCTTATGATAACTCAAAAGTCAATTTACTTTCATATAATACTAAATATGTCGTATTACGCATTGAACCAACTATAATGAATATATTTATTCGATACTAGCTATATAATACCTATTACTCACTACACGTGTATCTGAGCTTTTAGCAGTATAATTTAATTCCTCTTCGAGTRAATAATATTATACTCGTATATATTAGATTATTTGTTTTTTTTTTCAAATAATTTAAGTTAAACACGAAWCTATTTTAAATTGGAAAGTCGTATTGACAAAATAAATGTTATTTGACTATTAGTTGAAAATTCAGTGTAATTATCATTTAAGGCGTAGTATTTACTACACCTTAACGAGTTGTCCATTTGTATACTATGCAAAATAGAAATATAATTGTCATAATATGTACAAAGAAAAAACCATTCCGTAAAAATGAAAAATATACATACTATAGGTATAACAAATAAAGGTTCGTTTAAGACCCGCTTTCATATCGTGGAGTTTGAATTCATTCGTAGTRTCTATACGCATATTTTAATATTTTATCGACATTTAAAAACAATTTATAGTGACATAAAATGTAATTTAGTAATCATATATAATACAGTTTCGTCGCAAGTTAAATTAATTTCGATTCAGATAAAACAAAACATATATATATATTATATATATGTATATATTAAAGTTGTTCATATATTATATTTTTAGTATGCATTTTTATATGAATGACATGGAGTTTATGTTGATTTACACGTATATAACTGGTCATAAAAACGAAATAATAGAATATATATTTTGGTCTGCCAGTCACGTTATACAGTTATGTGCACAATATATCAACCAACTATTTTGATTTTTTTGTGATATTATATTGTCTATGTGATTTTATGAATGACAAAAATCAATATGTTATATTACTATTCTAAAGTATTAAACCAATTACTATTTATGTATATTCGATATTGTATACACCCAAGAAAGAAAAAATGCGATATACAAAATCTGTTGTTTTCTCGGCGTGTATTATTATCATTATTATTACCTATTTTTTTTTATCACAATTTCGTAGAAACACGCATACCGAATACGTATAACATTGATATTATATGTTATTAAAATCCAATGATATTTTGTATAATATACTGCAAAAGCAACAAAAAAATCCCCATGTGCCGACGGCAATCCTTATACATAACAATATATTATTATGGTTTACATTTTATGGGCCGAAGTATTATTATAGGAAATCCAATGTCGTTCTGTAATTTAAAATCCATCAACGACCAACGATATTGTTTACAAAAATTCCGCATTTACTACAAGTCCAGACACGTCACGATAAAGTTTCCTCTTTCGAACATAATGTACAGCCACTGAGATTGAACATGAAAAACCACCTATCACTTTTCCCCGCCAACGATTTCACTTTTATTGCACAGTATTCTGTAAATCGAAACTTTGTGCTGTCGTATAATATTATGCTATGTTATTATACTATTTTCAACGGCAATTCATAATTTTGTAAAAAAAAATATTGTTTGAAGACCAAAGAATAATGAAACTTTTGTTTTTTCTAGGCGAGCATACAAATATTTGGGGTGGTGCGTTTTATAACTGATTGTAATATATTAATTTATACTAAGTCTGCTTTTAATGTTTTTTTAAATAAAAAAAAACGTTTTTACCTACGGGGTGGTTCATTTAACACGCAAAACATTCATTATTTTAGAAAAYAGTACAGATTTTGAAAATACTCTTTTTATTTTATTTTTCTAAAAATTTTGCACGAGTAGCTTATTAGTTAAAAATATTTAAAATATAGATGGTGAGAGGGTAGTATATCAGAACATCTATAACGGGGTGCCCCTATTACCATTCCACAAGGCTCACCAAATATAATACTCGTTCCAAATTTCGATTTTTTTTTAAATTGGAATACTCCAAAATGAAATTCTGATTTGGAATGATAAATTGAAAATGCATGTTCCCTTAAAAAAAATCAATTAAAAAATAAGAACGATAAAAATAGTAACATAATTTAAAATAATGCGAGTTTCATACTCTAATAGGGGTACCTAGATATCGTTTGAAATATTTTTACATTCCCTAACACATTATTTTTGAAAATAATAAAAATAAATATAGGTAATATTTTACCCTAGCGGTTATTGATAATATGATCGGAAAAAGAATGCCATCGTAGTAAAAAAAAAAATTTATTAAATATAAGTAGGTACATCATACACAATATGTACAGCTTCAAATTTATGAATATATCAAGATTCATACGTAAATAAATACATGAAAATTTAATTATAGAAAATCAAACTATAGAGCCGCGTGAAACGAATCACATTGTATAAAATGGTAATAATCTCAAACGCGACAACAATAATAGAGGACGACGACCGATCGTTAATCTTAATTTGCGCAGCACAACCACTCGAGCGTCGATCGACCTATGCCGGGGGTAATTAGTTTTCTTTAATGATTTCGAATATAGTATAGGTATACACACACACACACACACACACACACACACAGTTTTTCGCGAAAAATCGATCCGCCGAGAGGATATAATTGTATATTATTATTATTATTGTTGTTTGTATTGTACAAACCCTGAAGTCTCCGCCGTTGCCGTCGTCCAGTTCCAACACGTAACCTTCGACGTACGAAGAAGCCGGAGGTTGCCATGCGATGGTTACACTATTATTTTCGGCACTGCACTCTTCGGCGATGATCAGCGCTGCACTCGGAGCTAATCACACAAGAAAACCGTGAGTATATTGAAAGACKACACAAATATTATTATATAATTTATTGTAAAACGGCCGAAAACACCGCACCGCGGGTAAGTACAGAATACAGATCAGCTGTGTACACATTACGTGTTATAAAATATGTTATAAAAATATATAACCGTCGCATGCATTTATGAGTTCCATTAAAACCATGATTTCGGGTAAAACTACCGCACAACCATATACTTGGGGATATATTGAAATATATAACACTTCTATTTCGACATGTATGATATATATATATATGGACGTTTTATTGAACGTAAGACACTCATCATTTAAAAAACGATTAACGTTTTTGAAAATATATTTTCTCTCTCTTTGATAGCCATCGTCTTTCAAACGACAATGTTTAATTTTTATAGATCAAAATGATTGCTTCGAGCAATATTCTGATTCAGAATATTAAATTAAAAATTAAAGTTGTCATTCAAAGGACGAACTTAAAAGATGATAACAATAAAATTAATTAATTAATATTTATTTTTCCTACAATCTCGTTTTGTTAAGTCTTAAATCTATATAGATTTAACCTAGCCTAGAAGAAATATTTTTCAAAAACACGTTAATGTTTTCTGGAAAAAGGAGTGTCTTGCGTTAAATAGACCACCCTATATATATTTAATATATATAAAAAGTATTATGATTATAACAATATACCTGTTGCCTTCATGTCTTCTCCATCCCCGATAGCTTTACAAGATTAGTGCAAGCGGTAAAAAAAACAATGGTTTATTTGTTTAGTTTAATAATATAATAATTTATCGGTGTAAAATGCTGCACCCATACAATATATCAACAATCTTGTAAAGATAATATCTGATACACTTTGAAATCAAAATATATTTAAATCGATAAATTTATAAAACTTATATAACTTTTTAGTTAGCGTACCATACTAAAGTGATTATAGAATCAGAATCAATTTCTTCGACAGAGATAATCATATTAATTACCAAAAATTGATTATCGGATATAACTTATTTATGTAGGTAAAAACTGATTTTGCAAATCAATTTTAACAAAATAAAAAAATATGATTTTGTATTAAAATTCTTCTCAATTATTTCTAAAATATTTTTATTTTTTAAATTATCTTTTTACAAGATTGTATATTATTATATGTGTGTCTAATAAAGTGCAATTGTATTAGTCAGTATTATAGGTATATATACATATTTATGACGCATCATATCGTGTGCGCTAAATAAAAATTTATTGTTTTTGCTTTTTACTATAAATCAATATTATAGTAAAATATCATAAATGACACAATTTTTTATGTAATTTTTTTTTTTAAATATTTAAACTTTGCGATTACAATTAATTTCAACAATTATTTAATGTAATGCTAATATATGGTGGTTGCTAATAAGAAAAAATAAATATGAAAATAGTAACAATATATTATAATTAAATTAAAATTCTGCATAGATAAAGATAATACTCGTATATTCAATATTATTATTATTATTATTATTATTACTATTATTTTTTGAGAATATATTTATAGTATCGTATGGATGGTATTCAAAAGAGACAAAAAATGGTCGCGATGTGTTGATAAGCTGAGACAGTTGAAGAGTAAGACGTGACTAATATCACAGACTATTGGATCATTGTGAAGCGTGCAGAGATGAGAATCGTTATTAATGACAGTTTAAAGGAATAAGAAGGAAATCTTGTGTGGCCAAACCGATAAGTAAATTCAATAATTATAAAAAATAAAAAAAAGTCCCCGTTCAAATTAGTTTAGGAATTTTTTTTATTTATAGCTCCTTTTTTACATATTTAAATTAAATTACCATTTAAGTTTAAGAAAAGTTGGTCAGCTCCGACACACAAGTTGCAAATGCGTCATTATGCCATTGAGCTTATATTATATTTTATACATCATAATTTATAAACCCTAGGAAGTTACGAGATTACAACCATAATGATTTTCATTAGCATAACGTCACTAAACGTGTTTTAAGATAGGTACTACAAATGTTTATTTAAGATGAATGTTTATCACTCACCTCTCATTTAAGGGAATTCCAAGAAACCCACCCAGGTGCCTTAAAAAGAACTGATGTAGGAATCTACTCTATCCCTAAACCCATTCTCACGGGGTGTCGTCAATGAGCGACTTCCCCTTCATGCCAATAAATCTCCGCTATACTTATTGTATAACTATATAAATACAGCTAAATTGTATATACATATATTATAAAAACATTTWAAAAAAAAATGAATGTTACTAAAATTAAAAAATTTTGATAATGATAAACAATTTTGATCGCAAGATAAAATTTAGATAAACCGACTAGTTGACTTTAAATAAAACGTACACGATAAATGACGCATAAATATATAGTTCAAGTGTAAATGCATGTGAGTAATTAACAGTTAACATTAAATGCGGTACTAGTAGTTGTGTGTTTGTATGTTTGTAAATTACATACTTTTCATCTGTATAAAGTTCATGTGTTCGATAGCCTTCAACACGGTGTTATCGTCCAGGGTCAAATCCAGCTGGTGATACGAACGAGGAGACGGCAACACGTCCTTGTGCCAGGTCATGTCCGTGTTCGAAACTCTAGCTATCAACATTGATCCAACCTGCAGAATGGAGAGGAAAACAACAGAAACATGACACGGTAAGTTTTCATACATAATAATATTATATTATCATATAATATGATATAATTTAATGTAGTGCTGCAGGTAGGTACGATCATACGGGTTATCACGAAAAAGACAGCTGACACGACGTGTGTGTAGGTTATATTATACAGAGTGCGTGCAGCGTGTGGGCTTGTACGACCCCCATGATATTATTATGTTGTTTGATGTGGTACATTATACGAGAAACACGATACATCCTGGCAAAATTAGGGGGAGTTGGAGGGGTTAAGCCYTTTTGCAAAAGCTAAAATCGAGCCCTCCAAAAATACTGTATAAACCAGGGGTGGCCAACTTGCGGCTCGCGTCTTATTAAAAAAAAAACTAATATTTATTTATATCAACGATAAAATCGTAAAAATTAAAAAATGTATTTAAAAACATTTTGGCCCTCGATATCATAGTATTTATCCYTGTGGCTCGTTGATGTATTCATGTTGGCCACCCCTGGTATAGGTATACGATGCACGTATCGCGTTGTTGGAAAAATGTTTGCTGTGTTTATCGGAATGTGGGGAAAGAGCATCGGGTCCTGAGACCAGCTGATAGATCTATTATTTGGTTCAAAAATKTCCAGTCCCTGCAGCAGTAATCGAAAAATTGAAATYGCGATAACYTACTTGTAAAAACGAAACGGGATCGTTTTCTTTCAGGGCTTCTATGCAGAACTGCAATAAGGACGTGGTTTTTTGCAGCTTGCACGTGCAGCTGGTCACGTGATCCTTTAGCGACCGCTGTTTGATTTCCTTGTCCTGTCGTACGGCGTCGATCAGCCACTGTCTACGCCTCTCGATGGACCGGATCAACGCGTCACACCTGGCGTCTACTTGTCGCTCCAGTTCTTCACACTCGCCCTGCAAGCACAAGCACAAACCCGACAACGGTATACGGTTAGGTGTTTCGTCTTCTCTCTTTTTRAGCACCAACAACAACACTCCCACCTACTACCACAAGTCAACACCGGAGTCACAGTAGAACAAAAGCCAATCAAACGACACCTTTCAGATTCCTCGTCTCTCGAAGCAAATTCTAGACATTCTAGACTCAACTTCTAACACCTCTGGTAATGATCTCACAAAAAAGATACTAAAAAGAGCAAAAACCAATGTCAGGTCAAACTCATCATCTAGTCTCGAGAACA